TTGTCTTGATTGATAACTAGTTGTCTTTGGCTTTGATTGCGAAGGGAACAGGTACATTAGGACTCTTGTAATTGTTTTCACAGGTTTTATATTTTAATTTGATATCAATTCTAGTAATATATCCAACCGATTTAATTCTGATATATCCAGTAGGGTATAGATCTATTTTGATCAATATCAATAAAAATATATATGTTACCAATCATATATCATGCTATCAAATATATATATTCATGGATAATTTTTTTAAAAAAAAAAATTTCTTAGATGATGCACCTTATTTTTAGTTTTTCATTTGGTCTCTTCTAAATAACTCTTGCTACCACCAACGTATTTTTCTTTCTTTATCACGATTGTATGGGACGAAAGCGATAGGGTCTCGCTATGGTATAGAGACGGTAACGATAGAACAGAAATAATAAAAACCTCATGAAAGTGATTAAGATAATCACAATAATATCCGATGGGGGCAGAAGTGACGAGACAAAAGTGAGAGAGATCGAAGGCAACCAACAATGTCCACTTGAAGTGATTAAAACGTAAGAGAGAGCTTTCGACAATTTAAGAGAAGTTATATTTATGTTATTTGTTAAATATATGAAAAGGATAATTTAAGAGTCATTTGATGAATAGATTCATTAAAAATTATATTATTTGTTAAAGAAACTTAAAAATTTTATTTATTTATTATTTTCTATTCAACAATATTTAGCACTTTACTCATTAATAATTGTTCTACCAAGAGGTTCCAAACTTTCATATTCTTCAATTCTCATAGCGAGAGCATAGTAGGAGATATCAAGTATTTATCGATGATAGAGAGTAAGAAAGAGATCAAAAGTAAATATAAATATTGACCAACATAAATTGGATCATTATTAATGAATTGTATCGTCTAATTAACATCCTTCGTGATTACAGAATTATTGGATCGATTCGCAATCCATGAGTAAAATAAAAATTTCAATCACATGGATATAGAGAAAGATATTATTATTGACAATCCCCTCTTTCTTATTAGCAACCCCTTACCTCATACAACCATTTAGAAAATAATCAAATATAATCTTTGTAGATGCATCATCTTAATTACTAATCATACCCTTATTTTTCATAACCCCCTCGATTGTTCTAGAATATGACATGTTCCAAAATATTATCTTTTGGATTTTATAATCGGACATTTTTAATCCTAAAAATATTAAATCGATCTAACAAATGTAAAGAATTATTTCTCACCTTCTTTTTATTTATCTTTTGACCGTCTCATTTGATTATCAATTGTTTTCATCGTTTTAGATTACGAAAGATGTTCGACGAATAGAAGAAAAAGACATGTATGGAAGGAGTTAAAAGTGTGTATTAAAAGACAAGTCGATCATTTACGTTTGAATAAAATAAAATCTCGTGAGAGAAAAGAAAAAAAAAAAGGAAGAGATGAGGAAACAATAAACAACTCTTTGTTTCTATGGCTTCAAGTGATCTCTAATCAATATCTAATGCATTTTACGTCACCACATGCCAAGTGATCTCTAATCAATATCTAATGTATTGTTCAGTTGTTCGAACTCATAAGCTTCACATGCAACACCTCGCGTGCACGCAGTCCATTGGTGGCAACAAAACAAAGAATTCATATCAAGAGAATGAAAATAATAGTGATACATATATATATATATATACATAGAGAGAGAGAGAGAGAGAGAGAGAGAGAGAGGAGATGGATTATTCATGGGGTGCAGTGAACACGCTGGGCATAAAGTAGATGTCATTAAGTTGGTCAGTCAAGTAGTGTACGTCGGATGCACCTGATGTACAAAAGGCCTCCCGTCCTCGTCTGCATGCCTTGTTGCTGGTGAAGAGACAAAGGCTGGGCCACATAGCCGGTGTACTTTGACCACTTTGTAGTCTCCCCTGATGCCGTGCATATATGTCGTATCGTGTGCTTTTGATGTGGCCCACTCCGACACGGCTGCCACATAATCAACTTTACTTGCTTTTCCATTTGCAAGAAAGACTGATTAATCGTTGTTACTGGTGGTTATTTTTGAATTAAAAATGATATTTGTAAGTACATTATTTGTCCTGAAACTTAGATTAAATATCGATATAGGGAAATATGTTTTTTTTTAAAAGAAATTTCATGTAGTAGAGTGGATGTCGATGATATTCGTGATAAGTAGATAAGATTTTCTGAAGTCAGTTGAGAAAAATAGATCGAACTGCAGAGGAGGCTATGATTGACGGTGCTATTTTCAAGGTAGGGAGGGATGAGGAGAAAAATAGATCGAACTGCAGAGGAGGCTGCAGCGATAAACTGCAGAGGAGGCTGCAACGATGGGTGAGGAACTTGCAGATGAGACTGCAGCGATGCACTGCAGAAGAGGCTGCAGCGATGCAAGTTGCTGAAGCTTGCTATGGCAGAGAAATTATTGTGGCAGAGGGAAGTGGCTACATATGGAAGCTGTAAAAACTACAATCGTTCCTGTTGCCGCAGGAAGGCAATGATGGCTGTTGTCGTGGGAAACAACTTTGAGCCGTGGCCTCGGGGCCGACGCGGCTTGGTTCGGGTCCGGATGACGGGGATCTCCCTGGGGCGATTCTCGAGCCCGCTAAGGCGGTCGGGTGCGGTGTCCGATCGGGACGGTGTAGCCGTCTCCTCCGGGCAGGAACTCCTCGCCTACCCGTCCAAAGAGGACCTTCGGCTTCGCACCTGCACAAAGGTCGAGCCGAGGCTCTCGGCCCGACCCCTCCGACGATCAAGTTAGCTGATGTGGAGGGGGTTTCAAATGAAGAAGGGTTTTTGTGTATCCCCCCCTCCCTTTTCTAATAAACGAGAGGGTATTTATAGGGAAGCATACTGCTTCCTGAGCTGCTCGCTTGCAGGGGCAGGCTGGTAGCGTCTGACTTTGTGTTGGCGTGGCGTAAAGAATTGAGCTTTGGCAGGATGTTAATGCGCCTCGGTCGGCGTTCCAGTCTGCATTGACCAGGTGCTGTTGCGTGAGGCGTCATCTGACGTCAGCCGAATCTTATCATAATTATTATCCTCATCATATCCCCCCCCCAAAGGAAGTCATGCCATAAAAGGGGGGTCCGAGGCATGGCTTCGACTTTGAGAAACTGTCCCAGCCGGGCGCCTTGCCGGAGGCGTGGGAATCGTGGAGTTCAACAACTAAGAAGGGTCGGATGTGCAGCGGTGACCCAGGTAGCGTGCGGCCGACGAGCACACTTAGTAGGGCAGGCCGACGCATGGTATGACCTCGGTGAGCATGGAGCCGAGGAGGACGACGCAGGCGAGCTGGCCGCGCGCATGGGGCCGAGGAGCCGGGGAGCCGAGGAGGCGTGGAGCTGAGGAGCTGAGGAGCACGACGTAGGCGGGCTGGCCGTGCAGGTGTGTCTCGGGAAGCATGGGGTCGAGGAGCACGACGCAAGCGGGTTGGCCGCGCAGGTGTGTCTCGGGATGCATGGAGCCGAGGAGCACGACGCAGGCGGGCTAGCCACGCAGGTGTGGTCTCGGGCAACATGCGGTCGAGGAGCACGAGGCAAGCGGGCTGGCCGCGCAGGTGTGTCTCAAGACGCATGGAGCCGAGGAGCACGACGCAGGCGGGCCGGTCGCGCAGGTGTGGTCTCGGGCAACATGCGGTCGAGGAGCACGACGTAGGCGGGCAGTCACCCGACATTCCGGGCCCTCCTTCTAGCGCCAATCTGTTGTGGGAAACAACTTTGAGCCGTGGCCTCGGGGCCGACGCGGCTCGGTTCGGGTCTGGACGATGGGGATCTCCCTGGGGCGATTCTCGAGCCTGCTGAGGTGGTCGGGTGCGGTGTCCGATCGGGACGGTGTAGCCGTCTCCTCCGGGCAGGAACTCCTCGCCTACGCGTCCAAAGGGGACCTTCGGCTTCGCACCTGCACAAAGGTTGAGCCGAGGCTCTCGGCCCGACCCCTCTGACGATCAAGTTAGCTGATGTGGAGGGGGTTTCAAATGAAGAAGGGTTTTTGTGTGTTCCCCCCCCCCCCCNCCCTTCCTAC